ACAAATGAATACTTAGAAAACTTTCTGGTTTTTGAATAATCTAGTAGTTCATGATAATGTTCTTAAATACATAATTTTAAACATGAACTGAATATTTCATAACAAAATGAATCTCTGTTGTGACTATTCAGAGGGAAAAATGTTTCATTTAGCTATTTTTTCCTAGTTTTAATACGTCCAAAATTATGATCATTAGCCTGTGTATTTTAAAAAAAGAACATCGCAAACAAATATCAACTAAGTCATTAGGTTGCAAGGTACTTTCGTGGTTTTTAAAAAATATTTGTCACCTGTGTAAGAATGTCTCTGCATTTTATACACATATGTTTTAGTCAGCTTTCATGCGGACATTACTAAAACTCTGACAAGAACAATTTTAAGGAGGAAAAGTCTATTTGGGGGCTTATGGTTGCAGAGGCTGCAGCCCATAGAGGGCTGGCTCCATTCCCTGGAGCTCCAGGTAAGGCAAGGCATCATGGTAGAATTGACTAAATTAAAYCTTTTATAACCCAATTATTTCATCTCTAAACTTACTTGCATTGTCTTACACATGATCTTTTTGGGAGGATACCTCATATCTAAACAAAAACAACACAACTGCTGAAATATGGTGATAAAATAATTTAGAATATTTTATAATTAYAGGTCATAGTAAAATTGCTGAGAACTTAAATAAAACTTGAAAATGGATGCTCATTTATGTAAATATATGCATAGCTGATTAAATGATACACAAGAACATACTCATAGATTGTTCAATGACCAGGATACATTYTGAGAAGTGAATGATTAGGCAATTTCTGAGTGGTTTGAAAATCATAGAGTATATTTTAAACAAACCCAGATTATATATCTTGCTATGCACCTGGGCTATGTGGTATAGCTACTTTTCTAAATGTGGTTTACAATTAACTGAAACATTGTTAAATGTCACAAATATATACATACATACACTGACTATATAATTTAGTTCATTTTTGTTCAACCAGATTCTCTTGATCATTAGAGGTCTTAAGACCCCTAATAACTGGGATATTTTAGCTATTATAAATACTCMAAAGGGCTTAGAGAAATTGTAAATTTAACTATGGAGTCAAAAACASTGGATTCCAACCTTGACCATAGCATTCACTAGCTATCTTATTTTATAAAAGTTACCTAATGTCTAGAAGATATTGTCTTAGTTTCCTCAAGTTGAAAATGGATTCATGYCTGATTCATGTTGTTGTTATAAGAAATAAAGTACTGCACAAAACAAATAATGTCAATTGATTGTAGCAATAAGGATTCTTGTTATTATTACAGAATACAGATGATGAACAAAATCATTAAAAAGTAGGGAATCCAGGAGTAAAGTTAATAAAATAGACTTCTGGCATTCAAACAGGTTTAGTTAACTATTAAAAATGAGAGTTCTAAATCGGTTCTCTATTCTCAGGGATGATCTCAAGAAAATGCACCAGATAAATTATTAGTATTATTATTAAAYAGTACTTTATGTGAAAAGGTGAACAAATGATGATTATGTTCTTGCATCTGGGTTGCCTGCCAAGCACCAACTATTAGGTCATATATTTACTGCCACTGTGCATAATTCAACTAGTCAGAGAAAGAGAGAACTTGTCAAAGGACAATCTCCACAGTTGCAAAGGCCTACAAACCAAGGAATAACTATTTGCAATTGACAGCGTCTATTTTTAGACCGTGACATTTGCAGATATTGTATAGTGGAATAAAGCATTATACGGTTTGTTCTGGGGAACAACCAAGTGCTTAAATTCTTCTGTTTCTCTCCAAATTCTTGGATCCATTATACCCAGAAAAACCAACAACAATAAAAAATAAAAGCCTGAAATGCCTCTTTTGTGATGAAAATTCCTAGCAGAGGGGGCCTTTGGGGTTTGATTTTCTGAAACCTAAAATTCTGATATGACTGGGKGGCAGGAAGATCAAGTTTGGAAAAGTTTGGAGAAGCCTTAGAATGTTGTAAGCAGAGCTTAAATAGGTGATTCTGATGGGAGCTCAGAATAATAGTAATAACAGTTCCTAATATTTCAAGGAATCTGGAAGCTGTGAAGAAATATATAAACATCATTAGATCCTCCTAGCAGTTATTTAAGTGAGATGGTAGGATGTTATTATTCTAACCTTTCAAGTGAAGGAAAGGGATTGAATGGTTTGGGTAAGGGACTCAGTTAATATGAATTCAAATCAGGAGTAGGTCTTCAGTTGTCTAACCCCATGTAATATTCTTTCTGATTGAGCACATTGTCTTTTGTGTGCAGTAATTTATTAGAATATAATATACAAAAAGCTTTGTATTAATAAAGTAGACATAGATTTKTAAAAAATAATCTGAGGTTAATTTGTATTTGTCATTTGTTGCTAACTTTTCTTTTTCTACTATTGTCTTATTTCTTACAGAGTCTGTGATGGTTAATCTGAATTATCAATTTGATTGGACTAMAAAATATCTAAGATTAAGAGAATTCAGGATGTTTTGATGAGGGGGTTTTCTGAAATGATTGGCATGTGGGAGAGCAAACAGGGCGGGGAGATCGGCCCTGAATGTGGGCAGCATAGTCTAACAGGCTTGGAACATAGMTGAAAGAAGAGGTGGAAGAAGGAGGAAGCTAAGGCAGATGTAAGCTTGATTCTTCTTGAGAAGGTGCTTGAGAAATCAGACATTTGCTCCTTCACTGTTCCAAAGCAGACTCTGAACAGAGATTGTCCAGGGAGTTGCCAGGACTTTACTGATGACATGGAGCTACATCCTTGGTCCTTCTTGTTTTAAGGCTCCAGCTTTTGGGACTGTGTGGCTCCTTGTTCTTTTGACTCTTTAGCCTTTGCATGGACATTGTAGGACTATCCTACTTCTGATTCTGTAATCCAATCTAATAAATCCCCTTCTAATAAATCATTTATCCTGAAAGTTCTATTTCTCCAGAGAACCCTGACTAATGCAGATTTTCATACCTGGAGTGGAATCATTGCTATGACTAACCTATGTGGYTCAGATGCACTGGGAACTGGTTTGCTGGGAAAGTTAGGAAAAGTTTGGAGAAGCCTTAGAATGTTGTAAGCAGAGCTTAATAGGTGATCCTGAGGGGAGCTCAGAAGTGCAAAATGCCAAGAGAAATGCAAATAGCAAAAACTGTGCTATTGAGGTTTCAGAGGGGAATGGGGACTTAATTGGGAACTGCAGTAGAGATCATTCACATTATGTCCCGGAAAGGAGCTTGCCTCCATTTTGCCCAGATCCTGAGAGTTTCTATAAGACTGAATTTAAAGGTATGGATTAATTAATCTAATAGAGGAAATTTCAAGGCAACACCAAATTCAGGTGGTGGCATGGTATGCAGGTGGCTTTTAGTGAAGTTTGCTGTAAGAATCAGAAGGGGGGGGGAGATTTAAAAACTCACAGTTGACCAGAAAAGCRATTGGAAAACTGGGTCTAAGGAAGATCTGGTTGCTGGAGAGATTACCATCACTACAGAGAAACTAAGTACTCTGCAMAGGGACAATAGGAAAGATGCATTGAGGCCATCTCAGGAATCACCAAGAGCACACAYGTGGCAGGCTCAAGGTGTAAAAATGAAACTCACTTAAGAGAACCCGGTGACACACAACTTGGCATGGGGMTCCTAGGAAATGGTTTCATCAGGATTGGTTCACTGTGCTCAGCCTCGGAGTCATGCAGAGAGTGCTGCAGCTGGGGTCCCAGGGGGCCTGGCTACAGCTTGAACTTTCAGAAGACCATGTCATCATCCATATGGTTCCAGTTCTTCAGGAAGCAGGATTCTGGATTTAGGGCATCAAGGAGTCTTCCTCCAAAATATCCAAGGAAAACCTGGTAGACCAGGCATAGTGTGGCAAGGTCATAATCACGGTGGTAGCCCCTGAAAAGTTGATAAATGAGGCTGTGAGAATAAAGCCAAAGCTGGAATGGAGAACCAAGCTTAAATTAAGAGATGCCAGTGAAATGGAAGATCTGCTGAGGAAAGCTGCTGACTGTGGACAGAATCAACCTAAGACAGAGGCCTCATGGACCACCACCTTGAAGGCCATAAGGGCAGGGCTGCCCAAGCCCTTTGAAACTCACATCTCACTGCCATTTGTCCCAGATGTTAAATGTGGAACTATAGGACCTAATATATACCTACCTGGGTTTCTCTCTTGGTATAGACCCATTTTTTTTTTCTTTCTGTGCCCTTATTTCTTCCTTGGGGAATGGAAATGTTAAAATTTATCATTTTATATTGGATATATGTAACTTGCTTTTGATTTTGACAGGGAATTACAGCCAAGAGTTTGTCTCAAATCTCAGATGAAACCTTAGATGGTGAGAACTGTAACTTAGTTAGTGTATTAAGTCATTTGATGGGTTGATAATTTGCAAGGAGCTGGGCATGGTGGTGCATGCCTGTAATCCCAGCTGCTCAGAAGACTGAGGCAGGAGGGTTGCAAGTTCAATGCCAGTCTCAGCAACTTGGTGAGGTCCTAAGTAACTTAGTGAAACCATAGCTCAAGATAAAAAAATAAAAAGGACTGGGATGTTGCTCAGTGGTTAATCACCCCTGGGTTTAGTCCCTGGAACAAAAAAAAAAAAAAAAAAAAAAGGTTTTTTGAAACGATTATTGTACCGGCTTGTGACTATAGGTAGGTAGGATTTGGGTGGAAGAAGTAGGTCACCGGGAGAGTGCCTTTGGGGTTTATATTTCATCACTGGTGCTTTGCTCTCACTCTCTGCTTCCTGGCTACCATGAGCTGAGCAGCTTCCCTCTGTCCCATCCTTCTGCTATGATGTTCCCTCCGCCTCACCTTGGGACCAGAGGAATGGAGTCTACTGATCATGGACTGAACTTCTGAAATCATGAGCCATAATATACKTTTCCTYMTCTAAGTTGTTCTTATTAGATATTTTGGTCACAGTGATAACAAGTTTACTAATGTAAAGTAAAATGAGATTGTGCAAGCTAACTACTTTTTTCTCTCATTAGGCTCGAACTACGAAAGATGTGATTTTGAGGACGGGCTCTGCAATATGGAACAAGAGARTGTACAATTTGGTTGGAAAAAGAGAAATGGGATAACCAGTCTAACACCACCATTTCACGATCACAATGGTGATATGTCTGGTAATTGCTTTGAATTTYTAAAATTTCCTTTATTTCTTCATTTGTTTATTTCTTACTTTTTTTTGTCCCAAGTATTTGATTAGGTCAGTAGAATCTGGATGACATTTACATTTTAATAATTATAGTGTCTGATTTTATGTATTCTTTGATCATTTTTGGAATATTTCTGATTCTAAAGTATTCCAGCAGATTATCATAATTGGGTTCTTGGGATTCCAACAGATCTATCTAGATGATAACTGGGATTTTGTTAGTTAATTTGACACCTTGTGAAATTGTAAAATGTAACTATAATAATGCTATATATATTATGCAGTCAATTTTTTTTTGCTTTTGGCTGGACTTATTACAGCTCTGTCTAGTAATATTTGTTTAATCAGGCTSATTAGAAAGCTCTATGGACTGCCCAATAGACTTTGAAGTGATTCTGGAGCCAAACTTTTATTCCTTCTTCATTTGTTAATTAATGAATTTAATTTACTCAACATTGTATACAGTGATTAATTTATATAAGTGAGCAAAAATCAMTTGCATCCTGCTCTCATCTGGTAGGTTTCAACATAGTATGAAGAGAGATACTACATTGCCTAACTAAAGRATGATTACTTTTATAAGAGTGATACTTTCTTCAAATAAATATAAGGACATATTCAAATATGGATAGCACCCTGGGAGAAATGAAAGCAAGCAAATATTCAGGAATTAGATATTAGTTTGGAAATGTTTAAGTTCATATAATACCTATTAATTAGAATTCTTGTTCTGTTAGTCCTTACTTGTAAGATCTTGATATATKTACTTTTTTGAGTCTTAGTTTTCTATACTCTAAGGACAGTGGTACTAAATTCATAGAATGGTTATTGTAAGAGCTAAATGGATACTGTTGGTAATGCTTATTATAGAACACCTGGCCCTAAAAAGTAGAGTTCTGARTAATTTTGGTGTTGCTGTTTTTAAYTTCTATGTAAACAAGATGAAATTTCTTATTTTTTTAGCTTTGATGTCAAAAAATACATTTGTTTAGAATTTTTAATGACTGTTAGTAATAATCAACCTAATTCCAAAGAGAAAACAGTTTCATTGATAGGACCAACCACTAACTGCAATACATGGGGTTTGTTATAGATTTGGTAATGTTAGAGGGCGATATTCAATTTTRCTCCCAAACTTTTGCCATTGCAATGTCTCATGGATTGCTGATTTGGCACATCTGCCCTCAGTACCTCTCTMTGTTTCTTCCTTGTACTTGGAAGGTTTTTCACATCCTATATTACTCACCCTCATCTTCTTTGTAGACAGAATGCCTGCTTTTTCTCTATCTTTTGCATTGTGTTTCCTGCCTTACTTATCTTCTTTTTTTTCTCATTTTTCTATGCTTAGTTTTGGATAGCCTTATCAAGAGATGAAATGGAAGGGGTAGGCAGTGCATATTAAAGAAAAATGAGAAGTTGTATGGACATCCATCCTTTAATTATATCATCTGGGTGGACTTAAAATCTCTGGAGTGAGAGTAGCTGGATTAAGAACTTAGACTTGCTGACCTGTTGTCTGGTCTCAGTTTCCTCAACTGTAAAWTGGGGTTGAAAATAATATCAAAAGCTGCAGAGAAATAAGAGGTTAAGTTACTGCCTGACATGATCAATTGAAACCTGGTGATTTTAATRGTAGTCATGTATCTTTTATAAATATAATTAAATGTTAAATTAGGAGTATGCCTTAATAGGAATTTAGGTAAGAAAATTTTCTGGCTTAGGATATTAAATGTTAGAACATTTTTGTAGAAAAATTATCTTGGAGCTTTGTCTCCATTTCAAAATCCTATTACCTTAGTATTAATCYAATTTTGAGTCACTTGCTCTTGAAATAATTTACCAATGCTTCAAAATAAGATTTTTTTATTATGTAATTAATGCCTTGAGTTTTCAGAGCTAAATTTGAAAATCTATTAGGACATTAAAAACATTACCTCTGTCAGTATTTGAAATCTAATAAAGCCCAGGGGCAGAGAGACTAAAGTGTAGTATTGATTTTTAAGAGCATATAGCATTGCACTTGGATAAGATAGTATCACTATGACACATTCAAATACATCTTTGCAATGATAGCATGACTATTTAAAAACAGTAATAAGAACATAAAAGTTTTAAATAATTATGGAATTCGGCTGATATCAAGAGTGATGTAGAAGTTTTTAAGATGCATGATTCACTGGAAATCTAAAGTGTATACAGGTTATTAAACAAAAAATAATAGTTTATTTGTAAAGTTTACATTTCCCTTTATGCTACAGATGCTGTTTTCCTYTTTGAGTATTTAAAATTACCTTAAAATGAGAACAATTAGAGCTTTTGTCATTTTGATGTATTGTTAAATGAGATCTAAAATCTATGTATTATATTATGAAATATACATGCTATTAAATAATCCCAATGTCAATATTTTGTTCTGTAGTGATGACTTGTACTACATATGTAATCTACATATATTATAATCCTACAAATCAATGTCATGATATTTTGCTTTAAACAGTATTAAAAATAAAGACAAAACAGTCTTTTCTTTTATCATATTTGTTATTTACAATACTTTCATGCGCTTTGATTTTCTGAGTTTGTCTCTGGTATCATTTGTCTTCAGCTTGAATAATTCTGCTGGTGATAAATTATGTTAGTTTTCCTTCTCTGAATGTTTTTATTTTGTCTTCATTTTTGAAATACATTCTCACTGAATATAAWTTTTTTTTAGTTTTTTTTTCTTTTCCCTTTGTATGTTAAAGATATTATTTCACTGTCTTTTGGCCTTTCTACTTTCTGATGTGAGATTCATTGTTTCAAGTTGTTGCTTTTGCTATTTGTTATATATCTTTGATGTTTTGATGCTTTCAAGATTTGATCTTTATCTGGTTTTCAGCATGAGATTTTAAAATTTTATCCTACTTTGATTAGCTAAGTTTTTTGAAATTGAAATGAATGTTTTCTGCCAATTTTGGAATGTATTCTGCCTCTATTTATTCAGATWTTTTGTGTGTGTCCTGTTCTTTCTATTCTTTCCTTCTTATACTTCAGCCATCAATATATTAGACTCTTAAGCCAAACACAGTATTACAGGATGTTTTATTGTATATTTTGATTGTGTTATCTATTTTTCAGAATGGACAATTTCAGTTGCTTCATCTTCAACTTTTTGATTTTTTTTTCTTGGTCACCTTCATAATCATTTTGCTCATAAACTCACCTAATAATTTTTTTAAAAAATCAAATATTTTCTATCTAAAAAAATACAATTTGTTATTTTAAATTTCAAACATTTTCTCTGTCAAATGCTTTTTTTATACATATAGTTTTTTTAGTTGCAAGTAGACACAAGACTTTATTTATTTTATGTGGTTCTGAGCATCGAACCCAGGGCCTCACACGTGCTAGGCAAGCACTCTACCACTGAGCTAGAACCCCAGACATGTAGTAGAATTCTTATCTTTCCATGCATTATAAGCATATATTCCTCGCTCTGCCTAATTTTAATAGCAGTTTTCAAATCCTTGTTTGTTTCATCTTGGAGTGGCCTTCTATTGATTATCCTTTCCCATGATCTGATCTCATTGCCCTAATTTATTGTCTATAAAGTAATTTTGGACTTTATCCTGGATATTATGAATACTGATATCATAAAGGTTGTGGATTCTGTACTCAGGAATCTTTTTTTCAGAGACTGGGGATGATTTGTTTAAGCAAGTGATTAACTTGCATAGACTCAAGCTGTAAACTCTGTCTTGTTTGTTGTGGGCTGCGTTCAAGTATCAATGCAGTTCTTTTGGTCTTAACCCCCAGAAGTGTTCCTCCACTTGCAGGTTTCAGTGTTAGTGTGGAGGCTTGGATAGAGTTTGTTCATAGAATATGGGATACCTTTTATTCTGGCTCTTTAAAAATTTTTTTTAAATTTATTGATTTAAAAAAATGACAGTGGAATGCATTACAATTCTTATTATACATATACAGCACAGTTTTTCATATCTCTGGCTGTATATAAAGTATGTTGACACCAATTTGTGTCTTCATACATGTACTTTAGATAATGATGTCCATCACATTCCACCATCATTGCTAATACCCTGCTCCCTCCTTTTCCCTCCCACCCCTCTGCCCTATCTAGAGTTCATCTATTCCTCCCATGCTCCCCCTCCCTACCCCACTATGAATCAACCTCCTTATATCAGAGAAAACATTTGGCATTTTTTTGAGGGGGGGATTGGCTATTTCACTTAGCATTATCTTCTCCAATGCCATCCATTTACCTGCAAATGCTATGATTTTATTCTCTTTTATTGCTGAGTAGTATTCCATTGTGTATATATGCCACAATTCTTTATCCATTCATCTACTGAAGGGCATCTAGGTTGGCTCCACAGTTTACCTATTGTGAATTGTGCTGTTATAAGCATTGATGTGGCTGTGTCCCTGTAGTATGCTGATTTTAAGTCCTTTGGGTATAGACTGAGAAGAGGGMTAGCTGTAGCACTAATCTCCAGGGTATATAAAGAACTCAAAATGCTAAGCACCAAAAAACCAAATAACCCAATGAATAAATATGCAGGGACCTGAACAGAAACTTCTCAGGAGAGCATATACAATCAATCAAAAAATATATGATAAAATGTTCATCATCTCTAGCAGTTAGAGAAATGCAAATCAAAACTACTCTAAGATTTTTATCTCATTCCTGTCAGAATGGCAGCTATTATGAAGACAAACAATAATAAATGTTGGCAAGGATGTGGGGRAAAAGGTACACTCATACATTGCTGGTGGGACTGCAAATTGGTGCAGCCATTATGGAAAGCAGTATGGAGATTCCTTGGAATCTGAGAATGGAACCACCATCTGACCCAGTTGGCTCTTTTCTTTCTAGAATTCTTTCCTATGTCAGACCTGTTTGTTCTACATTTCCCTCCCTAACTCCCAGCCAACAGTCTATCTCTCAGAATGTTGCAGACATGCCAGCTG